GGAAGTTATATGAGGGAAATGCTTGAGAAAACATAGTGCTCATAATGTCACACTGAAGTTCAGAAGACCAAGATTCAGTATCTTTCAAATTTTTTGACTACGACCCGCAGGTTAAAAAAATACACTTCAATGTAATTAATGTGTACATGTGCACACGCAAATCTTAAACAAAAGTGTCATGAAACATTACTTATATCTGCTTTGATAGTTTCTGCTCTATTCTTACCTTCCTTCTTTCCTTCTCCTACTCTTCCTTTTTTTTTTTTTTTTTTTTTTTTTTTAATGCACGGCCTCCAAAGTGATTTCAGCACCTACATTTTGGCTCAGTTTGATTACAAAATAACCTTTGTGACCATTTTGTAGTATCATCTGCAAAGATATGACTGATAAATCCAGAGACGTTCTTTGAGAAAGGATAAAAAAGAGAAAAAACAGAAAATTACAGATTAGCATGAGGAACACTAACAAGAGGTAGAAGAAAGGCCAAAAGATAATTTGGAGTAAAATGATGGAAAAAACAAGTATCAAAGAAGATAATGCTACAAAAAGGAATGAGTAGCCAATAAAAGCTTTTCTTCAATTAATGTCTTTGCTTCCACTGTAGTGTTTCTTCAAGTGTAGCCTGTAATTAATTTAAGCAGAATTACCTCAGGCACTTGTTAAAAATTCAAATACCTGTGCCTTACCCCAAGCCTAGTGAATTGAACTCTCTGGATGTAGGTCCTGAGATTGGCAATTTAAGAGTTTCCCAGGGCATTCTTTACACCAAGTATTTCTATGTCAGTGCCTTTCGCAAACCAATTTTCAATAGAGTACTTTCCAGGAACACATAATCTCACTTCACACATTAGGTGAATTCTTGAAAAGCTGTTAAGTGAGTACCTGCACACCAAACCATTATTGTCCTAAAGACTACCATGGATTAATTTCAGAATTCTGTTCACCCAGAAGGAAACAAGGAAGTTTCTTGGAATATTCGAGCTTTAAACATTCTCTATCGTCTCAGTTTTCTTGTATTGGTTATGCAAATGGTTGGTCAACCAAGCTTACAATCATTATCTTTATTTGATTTAAAAGCACATACATTTAAAAATTCAACATGCTGTTAACACATTTCAGTTTGATTTTGAACTGATTTCATTAGACTTAACAGGTTATGTACCGCAATTAATTAAGTTGCATTTAACAGAACTCACAGGCAGGAAGCATCACAGGAGACACTTTTCAGAAAATATAAAAACTGAAGTCTGTAATGTGAACTCTAACAGCAAAGATATGCTTTTATGTGGTGAGCTCTGCTAACAAATATATGTGTCAATTTATTATCAGTTGATAACCAAGAAGTATGAGATGTGAATCTATTGTATTCTAGATGGGAATTATAGCAAACAACAACTGTAGTAGCTAACCTTTATTCACTTACCTCATATAGGGCCCTGTTCTAAATCCTTTACATGTATTAACTCATTCCATCTTCACAACATTCCTGTGAAGTAAGTATCATTTTAAACCTCAGTTCCCAGATGGTGAAGCTGAGGTATAGGAAACTGTGTAAGTTTCCTGAGGACTCACAGCTAGAAAGAGAAACTGAGATTCAAATCCAGGAAGCCTGTCTCTAAAGTCTGTGCTCAAAGGCAGTGTGCTACACTGGGATTGTAAGAAAGTCTCATGTCGAAGTAGTTAGCTGCCATTGCAGAGAGAATTTTTTATAATCTGGAATGTTTTTCTGTTCTTTATACAATTGATTTCAAGATAACTTGGGTATATTTTGGATCCCGGCTCATGTTTAGTTATTAGATCTCATTATAAGGTAGTTTATACAAGATAGAAATACTCAAAATAGCAGAAAGATAGGATTTCAGTATCACATTACACATAAAAATAAAAATCTGTTTTATAAGATACTTAATTCTGTTTCAAAGGGCAGGATAGCATAGTGGTGTAGAGCTGTGCTTCTCAAACTTCAAGGAACCAATAACATGGCAATCTTGTTATAAATGCAGATCTTCAGAAGATTTGGGGTGAGGCTTGAGATTCTGCATCTAATTTCCCAGGTAAAATAGTGATATTGCTGGTGTGGGGGTCACATTCAGAGTAGCAAGGGCTTAGAGTGCGAGCTCTGGAGCGTCACGATTTGCGTTTGAATCCCAGCTCTATTATTTACTAGTTTTGTAACATTCTCTTCATGTGCCTCTACTGCAGCTATAAAATAGTGAGATCATCAAAGGGTTGTTACGAGTATTACATGAGATAATCCATGAATAGTACTTAGAACAATTGCTGGCATGTAGAAAGCACTCAATACATATTATCTTTTAATATTACAGAAAACTATTAAAAGCATATATTGTATCCCATTAAAAAGCCATTTATAGAATTGACTGATGTAGCAGAAACACTAAATAAAATTTCATCATTATTTTCCAGTCACTAGAACATCACTGTACATTGAAGGACATTAAATACATAAGTTAGATCCACTACTCAGCTTTATTAAATACATAAATCTGAAACTGCTCTAAATGAATTTGCATGAAGCTGCCTTCGCCTGTAATATTTAAAGAGAATATTTTGCTTCTCTGCCAGAAAACTTTTTTATATTGCAGGTATATACTGAGTTCCAATTCATTTATTTTAATAATTTCCTCTGAATTTAGAAACAGTCATTTTTGTTAAAATTTCATTCTTATCAAACAGAAATCAGAACTAGTATTAGTATGAACAATAATAATGATTTAAAAAATTTATTTAAACAAGGGCATGAGTAGAGTTAAAATGAGTTTGGAGAATTTAGCCAAAATCTTAACAGACAACAGCATACATTTTCAAACCACTACACAATGCAGCAGTTACCTCTTATTGTTGAAGCCTGCGGCTTAGAAAGAATATTATTTGTCATAATTGTGATGATTTAATAATGATGTGATATGGGAGGGTCCAAAGGGTAGGAAAAGTTAAGTTAGGGCAAAATGAAGATAAAATTTCATAGCATCATCCCAAATGAAAACTATTAGAAATTTCTCAAATTCAACACTGCTTGAAAAAGAAAGAGATAGAAGGAATGAAACAGAGTACACTGGACAAGAAAGATTAATGTTTGCTCAGTCATTATGACAAAACCAGGAAGAATAAAACCTGGTGCTTCAGTCTAGGAGGAGATGAGAGCTATAAAATGTTTTGGTCAGTATTATATATGAGTCAGCAAGAAAAGATCAATGAGCAATTTACTTCTCTTTTCATCTTTTATTTCTCTAACATAGGTGCTGAAAAAGACAACTGTGGGATGGATGCTAATGTTTCTTTTTCTAAATTAAAACTAGATTCAGCATAGACAATGCAGACCTGCCTTGTGAGATCATGGCAGATAAGAATCAAGGAAAAGGGAAGAATTTGGGTAAGTAGATTATTCTTTCCCTCCTCTCTCCCCTTATTTTTCTTTCCCCATAGAATGCTCCTGGCTGTTCCTTTAATGTCTAGTGTGGTACTAGAAATTTCTTACACATAAGTAACAAGTGTTACTTTAAAAAGCAAGATTCTATTTTTAAATATCTTCATAACAGTGCTTTATAAAAAGGACTGCCATATGAAAGTTTTTAAGGCAAGGTTTACCTATACTCAACTACGCCAAATAAGGATTCTTCAAATGAAATTATTATCAGGTTTAACTTGTACTTTTAGTCAAAAAAATATCAATTGTGGGAATTATGGTTCTTAACATTTGTAGAAGGTGATAACCAACAGGATCAAATGGTTAGTATTAGTGGTACAGGAAGAATAGAGTGTGAACAGGATCATATCAACATCACGTCTTGTTATTCGGATTTATATTGGTATGAATCAAGTTCCTGATAAACAGAAATTTACTGAAATGCCTGAGCTAACTTTCTCCACTTACATAGCAGGTATTAGTTGTCTCTCGAAATCAGAGAAGCAAGAAATTCCACTTCAGTGTGACCTATTTATGCCTCTTAGACTTATCATATGCATTATTTAATGACCCTGAACCAAAGGAAATGTAGAAACCTATTTGAAAAGCTGACATTAAGGTTGTGACACTAACCAAAACAACAAGAAAATTTAAAGTTAAACTGACACACAATCCCCAAATCAGCCTGTTATGCTCCTAATTTAAAAATCAGTTACTATGTGAAATAGTGATAGCATGTCAGCCTCTGCTTTGAAACTCTTGAATTTTGTCATTTGGTGTTTGTGTCACAACCTTAAAATTATTTAAATATACTTTTTAATATCTATTATTTAAAAAATATCTTTGAATTGAAGATACTCCTAAACCTTTGAAGAAGCCAACCTCAAAGCACTGCATTCCTAGTGTGCCACTTTTATTAGAAGTGGTGCATAAAACATTTGCTGTTGACAAATCTAATTCATTAAAAGGTGAGATGGATGCATTTTAAAATAACTGGCTGGCATCATTATCTGCAATGCCTTTTATAAATTATTCCTGTTTTCCCTTTTGACTGAACTTGTCACAGTTCCCTTTCAGAGTCTGAGTGTTATACCTTCTAGTCAATGCTTTCAACATGTTTAGACAAGTCATAAGTTAAACAAGCAGTGGTATTTTATTTTCTAGAAATGAGAAAGGGTAGCAGAAATACTTACAGATTATTTCATTCAATTTGCTGATTTTTAACTAAAAACAAGCAAAGTCAGTGGTGGTTTCATCTCACACAAAGGATTTAAAAATAAAACCATACTGTTTTGGGTAGAAAAAAAATTTCAAAGAAAGAAACATAAAGAGAGATGCTGGCAGCCCTGCTGCACTGTTGTGCAGACTTAGTTTAAAACTGAATTGTGCTTCCCCTGACATAGGAGATCAGGTACATCATAAGGCTGACAGCTGGCTGGCACACTAACTTTCTAAAGGAAAACACAAATTGTATTTCTCTTAGAGGCCAAAGGAATAGAATTATAGAAGCCTTCAAGGAAACTGAGTAGGCAGAGTACAAATTATTTAAAATATGAAGAAAAATATTTCTTACCTTGTTTTGTTTAGGAAGACTAGAAGACTGAGCTGGTCTTGTAATCCTAAGGAGGTGGAAAATTATTTCCTTCCAATTTGTCAGTAAAAGAGCTGCCCTTTCTTTAGCATCTTCAGCAGTTTTTTTCCAAAATACACAAACACACCTATAAAATAATTAGATAAAACTTTATCATTGCCACAATGAAGGGAGCATAGTCACAATATTAGTTATCTACATTGGTAGTGACAGTACTATCATTGGGTCATGACGTACGGGCTTGAGCCAAGAGATACTGAAAATACATAAAGGCTGAGGATGGAGTACCTAAGAAATGCTTATTAACAAGATTGATCCATGGCTTACAAGCACATGGGTAACAGAGGCACCTAGGAAAATGCATACTCAAAGCATTCTTTTTATTTTTATTGATTTTTCAAATGTTCCTAAAGAAGTGTAGATGATAGAGAGTAAGGGATGGCTGCATGTTATAAAACAAGCAATACCTTTCAATATAATTACCTTTCCTGTTTAGTTACCAGTTGCCCCATAAGTTTATTAAAACCATCTTTTCCCCACTCTTTTGAGTTATCTTGTTAAGACAGATTCTGACTCAATTGACCTGGGGTTGAGGCCAGAGATTCTGTATTTCTAACAAGTCCCAGGTAATGCCACCAATGTTGTCGGTCTATGGAATACACTTTCACTAGTAAGGTTCCACCAGTATGTCTGTCTTTCCTTGTACCAAAATACACTGTTGTCATTCTTGGCTATTGGCCCTTTGTCTTTCCACATAATTTTTGAATCTTTTATCAAGGATTCTCCCCTCCCCACCAAAACAGACAGAAATTTGATTGAGATTGCATTGATCGAATTGAGCATCTGCAAAACGTTAAGTTTTCCAAGCCATGTGTATTGTATATCATTCCACTTATTGAGGTTTAACACACAGGAAGTCCTTACTATTGTCCACATGGTAGTTTTGCACATCTCTTGTTATATGTTATATATTCTTAGGCACTTCATATTTTGAATGTTTGTTTAAATAATATCTCTTTGTAAAATCTATCTTTTTCCTTTTTTGTTTATGTATTTGTATAATTTTTGTAAAATTATGTTTTTATCCAGGATATTTGCTTAACTTTTTTTCTGTAGTTTAAACTTTTTTTATGTACAAATAATGAGTTTTACTCCTTCATTAAAAAATTTAGTTTTTATTTTTTTATCTTGCTTACTAAAAGAAAAAAATAAATGTACTCTTTAATAGAAAAGACGTTTTTGTTATCTATAATCAGCCAAACTGATCTCATGTTTAGGCCTAGGTTGACTGGAAAACTGAGATGAAGAAGGTTCAAAGTATTTCTTTTGGTATTTAAGATTGTCCTCAAACTTATGGCCTTTCTCTGATGTCTGATATACAAGTGCTTAAATATTACTAACATCCATTATCCCAAGCTCATTTCCAGTTGATATTTCATCCGAAACAGACAAAAACTCTCATGGAAAACTTGGCCTCTCTGGGAACTGAATTTGAACAAAAGAGGGACAGAGGAATTACGACCAGGGTAATGGTTCAGTTCCATCCAAGAACTACGGTGGAAATGCCAATTCTAGGAAGCCATTACAGAGATAAAACTACCACCTACATTCCATAACTAAGATCACATGATTTCTTGGAAAACCCATAAATAACTGAAATTACTTTCATGATGACAATGTCAGCCTGTTCTAAGGTTAATTATCCTTCTTGATAGCTGTCACTCAATCAGCTTGACAAGGAAAAAATTAACATTTACTGTTCCACAAACTGTCAATGTTGTTAATATTGGTTACCCGAGGAAAGGTAAATATGCATGATGGTGGGATGGAGGAAAGGGTAAAGAAAGAGAAGGAGGCAGTAACTAAAACAAGAACCATCATAATAATAAAAATGCAACAAATTGTTTCTTTAAAATGTGTTCATAATCCACTATAAGTAACTATGAAGAAGTATAGCAATATAGAAAATGCTAAAATGGAGAAGTGAAAACAAGACCCATGACAGCATGTACACATTACATTGCAACCGTTTAAAAATACATGCACAAAACTTTTGATTAGGAAGATCAGTGTGTATTTTTCCCCATCTTCTTCCAGAGATCTCCTTAAAAAGGTAAGAAAGGTGTATGTTGGAGGTGGGCAGAGACGATGTAGAGTCCTCTCTACAAATTTGTACAAGGTAAGACAGATGAACGAGTGTTCACAGAAGAAATGGAGTGGGAAAGCCAAATTCTAGAATGTGTGCAGAGAGCACTGCAGCTAAAGGAATGACCTGATATCCCTGGCAGAAGTATGGATTAAGAAGTGAAGCTAAAATATGTGATCAATTGAAGATTTGTCCAAGAAACACTGAATCTCTCTCCCCTATCATTTTGTATAGGCAACTACTTTATTTTGTCCATAGTTAAATACCTGACCATAAGTAAGAAAGGGAAAAAAAAGTAGATGGGAGAAGTGTTGTGTTTGAGGAAATGAAATAACTGTTTAGAAATCTAGGAAACATAGTATGGATATGGGTGCCCGAAAGAGAAGTCTGCCTCATTCTGGCCTTAAACTGACTTCCAGCATATTCCTGTTTCCACCTCTTCACTGTAAAGCCCATGCCAGTCAAATCAGTGCCATCCAAATATATTTTCCAGGCAGCCTTTTTATTTTCTCTTTTCTAATATGCATGCATAGCCAAGGAAAAAATATATATGTTTTTTTCACATTTGAGACCAATGTAAAACAAAAATTTGTCCCAAAGAAATCAGAGATAAATTAATTAATAGAACATGTAAATTTTCCATCATCTTGAGAGAGTAAAAAAAAAAATATACATAACACAAGACCAGAAGCCGGACTTCCAGTTATGGTTGAATGTGATCATCATATACTCTTCCAAAAAACTAAAAGGGTAGACAAAAGTAACAAATACAACTATTTCAGTACTCTAAAAACTGACCAAAGGAATATAACAATTTAAGAAACAGTCACATTTGAAAAATTACTAATATTTTGGTAAGAATTTAGGACCCTGTGGCATTCTGGCCTGGAGCTATTTTATTACAATCAACCACACTTCAGCCAGGACAGAGTTTCTTTCAGTGTGAGGACGAGCATAAGATCTTGAAATATCTTTGCTGTGGTCAAAGGGGCACACTTGAGTTCGAGTGGTAGGTGATGTTTAAGCCCAAGTGTTTCAGTAGAACTGGTGATCTTAGAAGTGGCAAGCAGGGAGAGCCAACAGCTCTATTAATTCAAAGTCATGGTCATGGTTGGGGCAAGCATATTCTTGGCAAAAGCAGAGTATGTGTAATAGAGACTGGAGAGGAATAAACTAGCCACACATTTCTGAGGCTGAGTGATCACATGAACAGAGGAAACGTGAAAGAACCCAGCAGAAACCAAAAGCTAGGACACAACTGAAAACTGTAAACTTTAAATGAATTCCTCTGTTGAGAGAGAGATCCATGAAGAGATCAGAGACAAGCTATTGACCTGAAGTGTTTAAGCACAACTACTGTACAACCATTGGCTTTTCATTTAAGCTACACAAAGAGGCCAGTCCTAGGAAGCCAAATGTAAAACTCAAAACAAAAATCTTAAAACAAAACAAACAAACAAATAAAGATACATCAGTGGCCGCACATCACAGGGGAGGTTGATGTCACTGATTAAATTTAGGCAAATGTTTAAACAAAGAAACCAGCAAATAAGCAAAGCAACGACAACAATATTTAGGGATTAAGATATTAGAATCCAGAGCTGATTTAAATATATGATCTAAAAATGTCCAGTTTTCAACAAGCAATTATGAAGCATGCAATGAAATAGGAAAAAAGCCATTAAGAGGAACCTTCTGGGTGTTCCTAGATGTTGGATTTAAACATAGACTTCAAAGCAGCTATTACGAATATGTTCAAAGAACTCAAAATGACCATATTTAAAAAATAAAAGGAAAGTAATACAATAAATAAAAAAGACATTCTCAATAAGACAAAATTTTTTTAAGAACAAAATGGAAATTTTAGAGTTGAAAAGTACAATGCAAGAAAAGACAATTCACTATAAAGACTTGACAGCAGATTCAAAATGACCTGAAAAGGAATTGGAGAACTAAAGATAGTTAATATAAATTACTCAATCTGAAAGAACAGAGAGAAAAAAAAGATTTTTAAAAAATAAGCAAAGACTCAGAGACATTTGGGACAATCATAAACATATCAAAAAACATGTAATAGCATCAGCAAAGGAGTAGAGACAAATAAAGGGATAGGAAAAAATGAGGGACAAAAACATACCAAATGAAATGAAAAACATTAATCTACTCATCACAGAAGTTTAACGGACAAATATAAAGAGATCAATATCTAGACATAACATAAGCAAACTATTAAAGGACAAAGACCAAGAAACTAAAACCATCAAGAGAAAGCTAACTCAAAACATATAGGTAAGCATCAATAAAGCCATGGAGGCCAGAAGTCAGTGGAATTAGAAATTCAAAGTGCTGAAAGAAAAAGACTGTCCACCAAATACTCTATATCAAGAATAGCTGTCCTTTAAATTGAAGGCAAAATATAGTCATCCTTTTAAAACAGAAGACAAAATAAAAAATGAGAATTTGTTGCTAGCAGACCTGTCTTAAAAGAAATAGTAAAAGAAATCCTTCAGGCTGAAAGAAAATGACACCAGATGGCATTAACACAGTAAATATTTGGGTTAATATGAAAGGCTGTAAAATATTATCTCATTTCTTTTCACTGAATTTTTTAAAAGACATAGATTGTATAAAGCAATATCTATAACAATGTATTGTTTATTTTATAACATGTAGAGATTTAATACATATGGCAATATCACAGAAAGGGAGAAAGAAATAGAATAACATTAGAACAAAGTTTTTATATTTTATCAAAATTAAGTTGGTATTATCTGGATGGTATTAAATTGGTTATGTTAAACAAAGATGTAGAATGTATTCCCTAGAGCAAACACTCAGAAAATAACTTTTAAAAGGTAAAGTTACACTAGAAATTTAAATGTGTGTACACTAAAAATATTTATTTAATACAAAAGAAGGCAACCAAGGCAGAAGAAAGGAAAAAAAGATAGGAGTCATATAAAAACAAAGCATAATGGAAA